TGTGAGTTTTCCTTCCTCATGGTTTTGTGTTCCCTGGGACTTTAAGAAAGTAAAGGACCACACTTGTACTGCAGGGAGATAAAAGAGAATCACTGAAGAAAAGAAATGGAGTTGGAGAACTAAAGAAGCAGCCAGCTGTATGTGGATGAGATGAAACGAACACAGTCTGGTGGAGTGATCAACTAGACTCTTAAGCTACCACAGCTGAGTAAAGAGTTGCAGAGCCTCCCAAAGACGAGACCAGCTGCAGCCAGTCAGCAACAAGTCATTGTTTTCTCCCTCTTACCAACTGATAAGGCCTGAGAGACTGAGCAGGAGCTCAGTAAAAGGGAACAATTGCAAGGCCAATTTAACCTACAGCAGGACCTATTGAATCATAAGAGCTGGAGGATAATACAGGTCTCAGTGTAAGGTAAAAGGACATTAAGTCCTGGTGAAAGGAGAAGAATTCCCAGTCCTTAACAACTGTGGCAATGCTGCCGTTGTTTCTAGAAAAGGTGGGAAGTTAAGAACACAAGATAAAAGGGAAACTTGTAACTTGATTAAGTATTGTCTCTTGTCATTTACAGATATAACACTGTCACTTATAAACATATCATTAGGCATATATAGGTAGATAACTTGTAAATATTAGGGTTAACACGTTAAAAATGTATATTTTGGATAATAAACCTACCTCATGTACCTATCAAAGAAAAGCATTCAGCCTCCTGGTCTGTGGTTTGTACCATACCTTAATTGCAACCCTGCCACAGGACCATATTAATGGAACATCTGGTCTAATTTTTGTTAGAGCATATTCCTTCCCCATTACTTGTTTTTGTTAACATCTTGTCTGATGAAGAATACTGAAAAATCTGAAATTTGCACGCACTTTTACGCCCTCAGAGTGGGTCCTAATAAAGGTACGGCACTACCATAGAAATTATCTTTTACTGATTATATTTTGTTGCCGCTCTGTTTTTATCTGACTTTAGGAACAGTTATGATTGGAGTGGTATATGAGCCTAACAAATAAAATAAAAGATAAAATAATGTTTTATAAAATAATTATTGACCAACCCAGCTGTCATTGTTTTTACATAGCAGTGCTATTGCCACTGAGGCAGGGGAAAAGACAACAATCCTCTCTTCATGTGAGAACAGACCCTTAAGATTTGGCTTGTAAGACATCTCACAAGGTAAGTGTGAGCAGAAGTATATGAACATTTCAGCCATTTCCCCTCTAGTTCCCAGAATTCTTATGCACCTCTTTCAGCCACCCTTAGTTTCTAAGGAATCCCTAAATGTAACATCCTCCTCATCTCATACTTTATTAAACAATATACTGAAGGAATCTAAATTACTTACATGGAAGAAGGGCTTGATCATTTTGCATGGTCCACACCAGGTGGCAGAGAAGTCAACGACTATGAGCTTGCTCCCAGCAGATGACAACTCAGTTCGGAATTCAGTCTGGAGAAAAGAGAGTCAAGACCACTTTACAGAAGCAATAAAAATGCCTCTCACCCCAACACATTACATCTTTCCTGAAATGCATTAGAGTTACCTCCTTCAGTGCTTTCAAAACTGCAATAAGCAGGGAGAGTTTCTATGTCACCTTCCAGTCAAGACAAAGTCAACATAAGGTTTACAAAACACACACTTTAACATGAAGTGAAGGACAGAAAAAAGAACTTTTTTTCTTCCAGGGAGTGGTAGAAAATGGTAGGTTAAATGTGCTTGCTATATTTAAAGCAAATATTAGTTCAGTTTTGTAATCTATGAAAGTCAGTAGCCCAAAGGGGCAAAACAAAATCCAACAAGCAACACACACAGGACCCGCAACATAGGTGTAATTTGACTGCACCTGATCTCTCCTGCCATTAGCTTCTAAGGAGTCTTCAAAGGCAGCTTCACATATAATAGTATAGCAGGCAAACCAAAATTATCTGAACCATGGCTTAAATCAGCCCAATTTTCTAGGTTCACCCAACATATTTCCAAACCAAAACCTGCTGAAAAGACAGGTAAGGCTGCCAATAAGTGCCCAACGTGTTTGGATTAAGCCCATTACAGTCACTGGGACTAAGTCTGGGGACATTCTGCAAATCAGGGACACCTCAGATTTAAGTTAGGTTTCAGCTTCTGAACTCATAAATGGCTGTAAGTCATATCTGCAATATGAAAATCACACTGACTTGTCTTAGAGAACTACAAAATTGACCAATGTAAACACCATCTGTCCATTCAAAATAGATACATGGAAAGAAATTACTCTGGAGATCGGTTCTGGAATCTGAGGAGTTTGGGGACAGAAGGAAGGTCCCGTGAATTTGAAAGACATCTGGAGGAAGGGAGAAGGAAAGAGAGAAATACTGAATGATTCCAGACTGGAAATGGGGAAAAAAGAAATCTGACAAATGTAGCTGAATAGCAAGAGCTGCTGAAATCCCCATCTCGTTCCCTTTTCCGCTGGAACAGAGAGTTGTGGCACAGCAGTTGAGAGTGCCAAAAGTCTGGATTCTTGTACTGAAACTAGGCTTCAGTGAACAGGTGACCTGAAGCCAATCCCTTCTGCTTCCTTCACATCTCAAGAAAGGAAGTCTCTCAAATTTCTTGGATATACCTGCCTTTCCCTCCCTGATGCACATCAGGTTAATCTGACTAAACGTTCTGGGCACTGTGGTAGTCAGAATAGCTTGTGGGCAGGTCTTCCTAACTCTGCTGTCCACCTTTTGGTTCAAGTCCAGAATGGTGAGGTCCATGTAGTCCTGCTCCTTTCCCATTGTATCCCTATTTCTTCCTTCTGCCAATCACTGTACTGGGTCACTGGGAGTGTTTGCAGTTCAAACTGCTGCTACTGATAATCTTCTTTGGCCATGCATACTGGGACACCCAATTAATGAATAATCTGATCAAAATGCATGTTGCTGCATGCTTAGCTTGATCATGCAATCAGGGTGGCTTCATTTCCCCCATATTAAAATGACCATCTCACATTTCAGAGTCTTTTGCATCTAGTTCCTACTTTTTGGAATTGACCCGCCTCTTTCATTTTGAGTCTTATCTTGTAAGGTTCAAGGGTTAAAAGGGTTCCTTTTTCCCCCCAGGTCCTTTATAAAGCTGGAAGAACCACTCTTTTAAAGTTGGAGTTCTTAACAACTATTAAAATTGCACAAATGCTGGAGTCAGTTAACTTAATATTCTGCCTGTAGAACAAATAACTGGATGAAACTTAATACAACCCAGTCAGAGAACCAGCACACAAGATTTCCCATTCTATCTGCTACCTTATATACAGGTAGTCCTTGCTTAAAGACCCTAATTGGGACCAGCAACCTCACTGCTAAGTGACTAGGTCATAAAGCAAAATATCACATGACCACCCAACTTATGACAGCAGTTCTGGTTGAAGTTGTTAGTGAATTACCCACAATCATTAAGTGTGACTTCACATAACTGTGGCTTACGACTTCCTGCCAGCTTCCCCACTGACTTTGCTTGTTGGAAGCTGGCTGTGAAAGTTGCAAATGGCAATCATGTGACCGTGGGACACCTCAACCGCTGTAAATGTGCACCGGTTACCAAGCACCTGAATCGCAATCATGTGACCATGGGGATGCTGTGATGGCTGCAACTTTGGGGACTGGTTGCAAGTCTCCTTTTTCAGTGCCATCGTAACTTTGAATGGTCAATGAATGGTCAGTAAGCGAGGACTACTTGTAATATAATCTACAGCAAGAAGACTAGATAAAGGCTTTTACATTAGGTTAAGCTGTAATATACTCTGATTTTGGCTCCAGATGTTGTATGAACTTCAGCCCATTAGACTGTGCTGAAACAAACCATGACTTAGTCTGATGTGTTAACAAGTCACAGGCTAGCTTAAAAGGAGCACTGATATTGGTCATAACGCTTTCGTATCAATCTGGAATCCACTTTCTATTCCATTTACCACACTGCAGCCAACGCAGCTTTGCAATCAACCCGACAGTTTGCTGCAGATACTTCTCGCTTCCAGATGCATCTCCTGATTTCTCTAGCAGAGGCCTAGGTTGTTAAAACAGAAGCCAAGAGATTCACATCTAACCTGAATCAGCAGAATTGCTGGCATGTATAACAGGACTGTCAACAAGCAAGAATGTGAAACATTTTAAAGTACTACCTGTCCATTTTCAGTTTGGGCTTGAAAAAACCATGAGGGTCATGAATTGGTTTTGCTATAGATGGATAATATACTTCCTGCTACTTCTTATTTGCGTTTTAAAAATATTCTTACTGGGTCTAAAAATTTCCATGTAGTAAGAAAAAAATTGGAACTGCTCCCAAACAGGGTCAAACTTTGTGATACTCCCAGTTGAGAGCACACCCAGCGGAGTGTACATTTAGGCTGAGAAATACGAACAAGACAAATCACCAAACTGACTAGGGCAGCTTGTTTACCAGTTGACTCAGAGCTTCCTGCTTCAGAAGAAATGGCAAGAGGGAAATCATGAAGTTACACGAACTCAAAGCATAAGCGCATGACCTAGGACCTTCCTCCAGCTCTTTCCCACTTGCAAACATTGTCTTAGATCAGATGGCCAGCGGTCTCTATGAACTGCCCCCCACTGCCTGGCTTTACAGTTCAGATCAACATCTGGAACAGTGATTTTCATTTCTTCTACAACCCGTTTTGTGGCTCCCAATTAAAGTGGGTCTCATAAGGAGAAAAACAGAACAAACAAACTGCAGGCTTTAAATAAATAACTAAATAAATATGGAAGGAAAAAAGCCTAAAGGACTGCTGTATCACTTCTGCATATTAAAACTCAAAGAACATTTAGGGCTAGAAACATTGTCTTCCCAGCCAACTTTGCCATTAAGTGTTATGAAATTTTAGCTTAAGTAGACACTTTATTGCTGGCTGAACATTATGTATCCACATCAAATATTAATTACCTTATTAAGAAGTTTCAAGAATACCCGTTTTAAAATATTGTAAAGCTGACTTTTGTATCTGTATCCCTGATAAATAACCGAAGTACAAGAGCAGTTTATAAGGCAAAAAGCAACACTAACAATAGGTTGTGCTAACTTGCACAGAAAAAATTGTAACCATGTCCAAGATATACTATTGTAACAATTGCTTAGAATAAGGCAAACTTGCAGCTTTCAGTATCCTCACTAGGACCATCGTGCTGACCGGGGATGCTGGGAGGGGGGTTGCAACACATCCCCAGAACACCATACTGGGGTAGGCCATTTCTGACTATGGTACCTCCTAGACGTTATTTCTTAAAGCAAGCCAGTGAGTTTGTGCTCTAGAATCGGTCAGGAACTGCCTTGAGCCACTGCTAGTCTCTTACACAGAAAGAGCTTCAGGATCCAGGAACCATATCAGATTTGACTAAATAAACAAAAGTTACATGTTGTAATGGAGAAGTGGTAGACCTGTGGCCCTCCAGAAGTTGTTCAAAGAGAATTCCCAGCTGCCTCAGCCAGGAGGGCCAATAAAGGAGGATTCTAGAACTGTTCTTAGAACCACGCATGGCTGCCCACATTTCCCCCTTCTTCAGCTAACACTACCATACATTCCCTTAATTTGGTCAACCACTCTGGTTTTGAGAAATTCAGTTCCACACAGCACTCCCCCACATCTCACCACATCTGTGGTTAACATCAGACATTTCCCAGCTCATAACAGTAGAGAAGTTAAATGCCAGATGCATTTGACCACCTGGGCCACCCCTCTCGATCTGGGGAATTCCACTGGTGCAAACAGCCACATTTCTCAACAGTTTTCAAGAGCTCTTGTTCTGCCCTACAAAGGACTGGCCCCATGTTTCAATTAGCAACTTCAGCTTCTCTAATGGGAACATCTCTTTAGAAATTTATAATTATAAAAGCTTGGTCCCCAAATTACAAGCCATTCTGATCATGAAGCAGCCAGGAGAAAGGAGGTGCAGCATACTTATTAATGTAATAACTACAATGATCCTTCCCAAAGATGATTTATAAGACACCCAGAATAATCATCTTATGGGAAGGCGACAGGAACACCCAGCAAATTCTAGCTTATTGGAAGCTTAACTGCAGCTTTCCCCAATCTGATGCCCTCCAGATGGGCATGTGTTGCCTGATATGTTGGGTGTGTAATTCCTAGAATTTAGCTACAATAGGAATTAATTCAGAAAGTTGCAGTCATCAAATAGAACAGAACTGTAGCACCATGAGGTTCACCCTTTTCAAAGTAGCATTCCTAAATGTCAAAGATGGGTAATCGTTTGATATTTGGGCCAAACTTAATATTTGAGGCGGCCAGGAACTGGAATGGGAAGAGCTGCTGATTTATTTAACAGTTTTTATCCCACTCCAATCCTATGGACTCTGGATGGCAAACATATTTGAAAGCTGATATCAAAACACAGTTAAATAATAATATAATAACACAACAGGTCATCCAACAAAAATACAGTGAATCAACTCCTATGGCAGATGCTCTAGCCAATCAACTCAGGCCGAAGGTTTTGATTTTATGTACCTGTGAAATGCAAGGAGGGTAGGAACTACACCCCTCTCACAGAAGGATGGGCCAGAGACTGGGGCTCCCTCACAGAAGACCTGGCCGGAGCTATGGTTCTTTTGAGTTTGGGGGAGTTTCTGTAGGTCTCTCTTTTACGAGGGCGTTAAGCTTATTTTTAGGGCCATGCTACAGTGTGTCTTTGTGTGACACACAATGGCACATAAACTGTATTGCTGATTTTTAACCATTTCACTGCCAAAACTGAGCAGCACGATCTGTTGGATGCCTGATTTTTAGATGGGTACAACTAAAGTGACAGACAATATGACTGGGGAGGAATGTTGCCATTCCAGGTTACATAAAGAATGTAGTAATAATAACGTACTACACAGCAGAAAGGGTTAATCTGAATACTCCATTAAAACAGACACTGAAAATCTAACCCAATATAGGCTGCCTTCTGGAAACCTTGTTTTAGCCAATAAAATAAAAAGAAGTTCTGATATGATAGGACTGTCTATGCAAATTTGCACAGGATCGGGCTTCTTCCCTAAGAAATCAAATTGTGACTGCTGCCTTTATGTATTTATTATTATTTAATAAATAATAATTTATATAGCAAACAAAGGCAGCCAATACCAACAGATTTCAGGTTATTCAGGATGCCAAGTAGGAGAACAGTTCATTAGTCCTGAGTACAAATCAAACTGCAATATATTGCAGGAGGAAAAAAATGAGGCTAAAGATCAAGAGACTGAACAGGTCACCAACAGACTAGGAAAAGCAGCAAATCTTGGTTTTTAGCTGGATTCTTGCCAACATTCCAATACTGTAGCATACCCACACATTTAGCAGGTATTCCTGAATCACCATGTATTATAGAAAGCTCAATGCAAAAGCACAAATCAAAAAGATCCTGCCTCTGTCACCTCAGCTGTGACCTTATCAGTCTACCTTGTGCATCAGTCCTTCTCCTTCATTAGATGGAGCTATAAATGCTGGTCTACTAAAAGCGTTTTTACAAGAACTATTTCTGAAGAACAGTGCAAGACAAAATGTCTCAGTCAGCCTTCCTCAACCTGATGCTCTTGACCATGCTGGATGAAGAGATAATTCAACCCCCGGCAGAACACAATGCTGATGCTTGCAGGTTTGATCTAGGCTATTTCCAAGCAGCACTGGAAAAACTGCCTGAAAGCGATGCTGTTAGCACCAACAATACTGTGTTGGGGGCACAGCAGCCTGAATGAGTAGAACAGAGCTTCCTGTGGGAATATCAGATTGTGGAAAGTTAATTTTCTCCCATTCCCTTTCAACTTCCAACTCTCATCGCCTAATCCTTCAACACAGCTACATTAGTCAGCTACATTAGTCAGCAACACTTGCAGCATGTAAAAGTTTCTCATGACAACATGACTCCTTCTCAAATACTGGCAGGCAATTCCAGATAAGTCGGGGAAGGAAAAGGGAAAGCAGGTCATAGCAAGTTTCATGTCCCTGGTGAGTAAAAATTAAGTCAGAAAGCTGGCCACACTACCAGATTTTAAAGTTTAGGGGTGGTAAGAGGAATAGCAAGCAGGAACAGTATGAAGAAATGAAGGTTTATTTGTTTGGGCATAATACTTAACTTGGGTCCATCTAAGTTTATCAGGTGCTTTTCCAAAGATCATGGATAACTAGAGTTAACATGCAAGAAGACATGCTTGCCACAGACTAAGAATTAAAGCTTCTGTCTTCCTAAGCAGTTCACTGGCTAGTTAAAATTCAGCTGCTGCTATCAAGTGATTTCCTAGTTTGCACTGTTGTGCCTAAGTGTGTCATAGCCACCAGGAGGGCACAAAAGGGATCCTGTGCAGCTTAGATGTTTCATTCATTTCTGACTGCGAAAAACATCCTTTCTCTTGCAATTTCCCTCATCTGCCTGTCTGGGTGATGGCTAGATTAAAAGGTCTGTTGCAAGAAAGGAGGGTTTCAGCCAGGCAGTTGGGTAACAGCACACAACTTAAATGAAAACAAGGGGGAAAAAAACCTGGATACATCCTGCAGCTCTGATAGTCAGGCGTTTCCAGTGCTTCAAAGCCAACTATGAAATACGAATTGCTCAGATCTCCCCATTCCGCCATTTAAAGCTGCAGCCCTATACCCGATCTAGGTTTAAGCCTTAGTGAACACAGCGGGCCTTCCGAAAAACATGTCACTGCATTATACTTTGAAAAGGGGGGGCGGTGAATTCCATGGTGGGGGGCGCACCGAAAGGCCAGGACCAGCGAGCCCCTTCTGGCTAACCCAGCCGGCCGCAGGCGGAGGCCGCCCGCTCCCGCCCTCCACA